CGGTCTTGAAACCTCACTGCGTTTGGGGAAAAATCATACTCTTTCCACAGCAGTGGCATGGGGTGCATTACTAGGTATTAGATGTCTCTTCTAAGCAAAGATCCAGGGCTGCAATTAATGATTAAACTGCACTTATTTACTTCATCAATTAGTTGTTAGTTACATAAAACACAAGAAAATAGCATTTCTCATGTTTCCCAAACATCAGTCTCAGCAACAACAGTCCTGATTAATTTACCAGGCCCATTTGTTGCACAGCATTTTATGTTTTAACCCTGTAGGATGACATCTTAAATATTTATCAATCAATTAATTTCATTAGTTTGTTTAGAGCTGGACTTAGGTTTTTTCTACCTTAAAATTGATTTTATCCTATCAGTTACAGGAAACACATTAGTGCAATACTGCCAAGCTGAACCAGAGCCTTTGTACTTCTGTTGAGAGCTTTAGATGATTTACTGTTTGGACACTCATTTTAATGCAGAGTTCAGAGCAGCTTACACAGCTTCTCCAGTACAAGTGCTGACTAGATGGAGTGGACGCATGCTGCATTATCATGGAGGGATGCCAAATACAAATGCATACAAGCAGAACTACTCACAAAAATATTTATCAAACTAATTCTACTGCAGTAAGGGAAAATCCAGTGTCATGCTATTATCAACTGGTGTTAATACAATTACATTATTGGTCAATAAACATTACACAATTTTGATAATTGCTTAATCCTTTAAATCATTTATACTGTTCAAATACCAAGCATTTGCTGGTTGCAGAATTTCATATTTTTTGTACAGATGCACCAACTGCAATTTTCTTGGCCAGTCCTGATTTCCGATGTCTGACTTGCCAATTGCAATTCTGTCTGATTCCAATGTTCTTTCTAAGAACTGTAACTCACTCTTTTTCTTTCTTTTTTTTTTTTTTTACAAACCTCCAACTACAAATGAAGTGCAATAAGTGTACTTCTCCAAATATAAACAGGTGCAACAGGTAATAGATACAGAAGAATATCTGTTACTACTGAGCACAGTTCTTTTTGAAGTGTGTCTGTATTTGCTGTTTTAGTGTGGGCCCGATACACTGTACATATACTCCATGTCAACTAACACAAACTAAGTTCTAGTTCTTTTAGTTTGCCAGGAAGTAAGTCGTGTAATGATGTACTGACGACCTGTACTGTTTACATTCTCAGTTTGCACGTGCACAATTGCAAATTCACTGTTGACTACTGCACATACAGCTCCCATGCAGCATACATTCTCTTATTATACATCTTCATTTGCTGCTTTAATGTGCCTTAGATTTTGTGTTAGTTATTTATCTACTTTATATTTCATTTGTATTGTGTGGCATTCATGTGGACGGCAAAGTAAGAATTTCATTGTACAGGGAAACACGTTTCCGTACTGTGCATATGACACTTTGACTTTGACTTGACTTAGTTCTGAGCTAGTTTGAAGCTGGGTCAACTTGTGAATCTTCTGAGAAATGGTTTGTTTTTCCATGCGCTATGGAGCCAACACAGAGCCATGTAATTACGCCTCTGCTTTCCCAACAATGGCGGACTTCAAGATCTCCTTCGTAGTGTTGCTCCTGGCTTTGTGAGCCTACACTGGCATCTAAACATGGCTGGTTCAGTGCATTTGTGCTGCTCGTCATGATTTCTATGGACGGATCGAGAAGAATGATACTTACATAACATGTTTTGATTAATATTAACACTGAGTGTAAGATGTTAGTCTTTGTAAGTAAGTAAGTCTCCTTCATGGTTCACTGCTACTTCGATTCAAAGTTAATGAAGCTCATGTTTTTCTTTTGGTATTAAAAGTTAG